ATCACTTAAATGATCTTGCCAGTTAAGGGTGTCTTCCGACGCATGTATCGAATCGGTCTCTTTTGCATGTCGCGTGAGGGCTTCGGAACTTTCTCCATGCAGAAGAAAAAGAGCGACAAGTCATTTTTAGCTTGGCTAGAATTGTTTAAGTGATTTTTGGGGTGGTTTTTCGGGTATAAGGGTGTCTTCCGACGCATGTATCGAATCGGTCTTTTTTGCATGTCGTGTGAGGGCCTCGGAACTTTCTCCGTGCAGAAGGAAAAGAGCGACAAGTCATTTTTAGCTTGGCTAGAATTGTTTAAGTGATTTTGGGGGTGGTTTTTCGGGTATAAGGGTGTCTTCCGACGCATGTATCGGATCGGTCTCTTTTGTACTTTGTTTGTGGGTCTCAAAACTTCTTCCCTGCAAAAGGACAAGAGCGACAAATCATTTTTAAAAAATCGTTCCTGGAACGTTCCAAACTTCAACCAGCTACGTATACTATAATTTATGAATTTATCGTGCTTAATCGTTTGTACGTCGTTTGTACATTATTAATAATCGGTTAAATTTATAATTCCAACATTTGTTTTTGTTTAAAACGCAAAATAAATAATTTTTATTTGAATATGGCGGGTATGGAGCACAAAGCGCGTACGCATGCGTTTTAGTTACTTCCTGCTAGAAAATGGCAGATAAATCTTCAAAGTGCGTTTACATTAGTGTCAATTTTACCAACATCAAGACTGAAATATGATAGTCAACTGCTGAAACGAAAGAAATCACTGAAGTATTTCATGTAAATGCTCAGGACTATAGCGCTTAAAGAAACGTTAACAGTAAAATTTAAGCGGTAAACAAATTGGCTAATCAATGCGCACGCGCATTTATCTATTCAACAAACATACACGTGCTGTTTTTGGGGAGAGAAAATATAGACGAATATAGATTGAATAAAACTGGAAAAAACCGAATCTCGGTGTCAAAAAATGTGAAAAAAATTATGCAATTGTTTAAAAAGAACAAGCACTGAATAATTTCTGAGCTCGATTAACAAACGGCATGGCTGCCCGCTCTCGAGGTTTAAGACAAAGATGCATAAGGGCCTATCCAGATAAATTTGTTATAATCGCATAAACATATGATAACATTTGGTCCATAAGCAGATGCATAAGGAAATAGACCAATCAAGTTCCTTGTGCATATGTTTATGCGACTATGCAAGTTTGCTGGATAGGCCCTTATATTAAAGACCGTCTTAAGCACAGTTCAGATATTGCAAGCCAATCACA